GCGACCTGTAGCGATGTGGTCAGCTGAGATGAAAGGCTCTGGTTCCTCTGCTTACAAGTCTTTGATCCGAGGTGTGATCCAGGGCAAGTCAGCTGGGTGAGATCTGACGGACTTCGGGGAAGAAGTGGTGGTGAGCTTCCCGTGGTGGTGTTGGTATAATTTATCCATTTGGTTTCCACACCGTCATCCACGCCAAGTACTTCAGTCCAGGATGGTGAACTATCCACTGCCCGAAGAGGCGTACTGCAGAGCCAGTAATCGGCCTGTAGGTCTTGGATGTAGGTCTCTGTACTTGAGCGGAGTGGCAGCTGGGGACCAGAGCACTGATAAGTGTGTGCTACACCCGATAGGAGGCATTGGTTGAGGTGTGGCTGGTACTGGTCCCAAGGTCAGTTAAGATAAGGTCAAGGGTATTTTGGACTGTGTGTGGGGAAGGTCACAACCAGATAGCATACGTCCTGATATATCAGTGGTGCTTGAATTTACTTTAAATCCCCACATACTAACTTGGGCACATGGGTACCTAACTCTGGAGGTGGTCTGAGGTGGTGATGAGGTGATTGATAAGAGTGTCTCTGGTGGGTGATCGAGTATGGATGGTATGCCACACAGATTATAATGGAAGCAGTGTTATGTAGTGCCCGTGAAAGTACCCACACGCACTATTAATGCTTCCACATCTGCTGACCTGGAACCATCCAGGCGTGACGGGCGTAGGTCATCTTGACAGAAGAGGGCAACGCCCGCCTTTGTAAAACGAAGGTATATGTTGATATCCCCTCAATATGACACGCTTTCAGGCACAATTCTGCCAAGCCTCACATATGGCAAATGACGCTCGCAGCGGTTGACCTGACTGTAGTTGCCAGCTCGCCGAACTTGCTAGCTGGGAAGTGACTTGGATAGCAGTAGAGGACGGGAGACTGCTACATATCCGTGGAACTTCAGTGTGGTGGTGGTATAGTCTGGTCAGGGTGGGTTTCCTCGGTTTCCTAGTGAGGTTACAATTCTAATGGGCTTATGTGTATGACGCCTTGTCTACGCTGCGGAATATTTTTCAGTGACTTGAGTCGCTACGATAACATCACATCAGGATAACCGCCTCTACGATGGTACAGACTGCGCCGAGTAAGTGATTGGGTGGCCATCTGCTGAGATCTGTTGTGGGCGGACGGAAGTGTTTGTCACTGGCGGCACTTTGAGGGACACTGACACTGGTAGACATCTGTTAATACTTGTCAGTCGTGAAAGACCCTGGGTCCCCTCGCTCCTTGCGCCAAAGGCCGCACACAGTTTTCACGATATATGTAAACACCGCGGTGGTTCTGTCACTGGCACTTTAAAGGTGACCGATAAAGTGCCCACTGTCTGACTTTTTCCTTTGGGGTGCAATTATTATCGAGCACTGTATGATAATCACTTATTGCACTGATGACTAGAATGCTTTGCCGAAAGTTCCTTTAAGTGCACCATAGAACACTGCTCCGGTAATCAATCGTTCACTAATCACTGGAATGTTTTGCTGAATCGATCCTACAACACTTATGCTGTATATACCAATGACCTGACAACACTTATGCTATATATACCAATGACCTGACAACACTTATACTATATATACCAATGACCTGACAACACTTATACTATATATACCAATGACCTGACAACACTTATGCTATATATACCAATGACCTGACAACATTTATACTATATATACCAATGACCTGACAACACTTATGCTGTTATACCAATGACCTGACCTTGCCCTTACTATATGTACCAATGATCTGACAACACTTATACTGTATATACCAATGACCTGACAACATCTATACTGTTAAACCAATGACCTGACAACATCTATACTGTTATACCAATGACCTGACAACACTTATACTATATATACCAATGACATGACAACACTTATGCTATATATACCAATGACCTGACAACACTTATACTATATATACCAATGACCTGACAACAGCTATACCGTATATATACGAATGACCTGACAACACTTATACTATATATACCAATGACCTGACAACACTTATACTGTATATACCAATGACCTGACAACACTTATACTATATATACCAATGACCTGACAACACTTATACTGTATATACCAATGACCAGACAACACTTATACTGTATACCAATGACCTGACAACATCTATACTGTTAAACCAATGACCTGACAACATCTATACTGTTATACCAATGACCTGACAACACTTATACTATATATATCAATGATACGACAACACTTATGTACTGTATATACCAATGACCTGACAACACTTATACTGTATATACCAATGACACAACAACATCTATACTGTTAAACCAATGACCTGACAACATCTATACTGTATCCCAATGACCTGACAACACTTATACTGTATATACCAATGACCTGACAACATCTATACTGTACTCTAGCCAATACATGACAACATACTGTTATACCAATGACCTGACAACACTTATACTGTTATACCAATGACCTGACAACATCTATACTGTTAGCCAATGACCTGACAACACTTATACTGTATATACCAATGACCTGACAACACTTATGCTGTATATACCATGAACTGAAACAACACTTATACTGTTATACCAATGACCTGACAACACTTATACTATATATGCAATGACCTGACAACACTTATACTATATATACCAATGACCTGTTAACATCTATACTGTTATACCAATGACCTGACAACATCTATACTGTTATACCAATGACCTGACACTTATACTATATATACCAATGACCTGACAACATCATACTGTTATACCAATGACCTGACAACATCTATGCTGTTATACCAATGACCTGACAACATCTGTACTGTTATACCTTGACAACATCTATACTGTTATACCAATGACCTGACAACATCTATACTGTTATACCAATGACCTGACAACATCTATACTGTTATATACCAATGATGACCTGACAACACTTATACTATATATACCAATGACCTGACAACACTTATACTGTATATACCAATGACCTGACAACACTTATACTATATATACCAATGACCTGACAACACTTATACTGTTAAACCAATGACCTGACAACATCTATACTGTTATACCAATGACCTGACAACACTTATGCTATATATACCAGTGACCTGACAACACTTATACTGTTAAACCAATGACCTGACAACATCTATACTGTTATACCAACGACCTGACAACACTTATACTATATATACCAATGACCTGACAACACTTATACTATATATACCAATGACCTGACAGCATCTCTACTGTTATACCAATGACCTGACAACACTTATACTGTTATACCAATGACTTGACAACATCTATACTGTTATACCAATGACCTGACAACATCTATACTGTTATACCAATGACCTGACAACACTTATACTACTGTATATATACCAATGATTTGACAACATCTATACTGTTATACCAATGACCTGACAACACTTATACTATATATACCAATGACCTGACAACAGCTATACCGTATATATACGAATGACCTGACAACACTTATACTATATATACCAATGACCTGACAACATCTCTACTGTTATACCAATGAACTGATAACACTTATACTATATATACCAATGACCTGTCAACAGCTATACCGTATATATACGAATGACCTGACAACACTTATACTATATATACCAATGACCTGACAACACCTGTACCAATATAACAATGACCTTATATTACTGACAACCCTAGTAAAACATATCGTAATGACCTGAAACACTTAAAGCAGATATAGCATTAACCTGACAACTTCTGACAACAGTAAAATCGCATTAGTGACCCTGACAACAGCATTAATACAGTATTCATGACTGATGTTAAAAAATCATTAACAACACTGACAACAGTAGCAACATAACATTTAAGTCCCTGCCAACAATAATAATATAGCATTAGTGACCCTGCCAACAGAAATATCATAACATTAATGACCCTGACAACAACAACACAGCATTAGTAATCCTGACAACAGCACCAACACAGCATTAATAATCCTGACAACAGCACCAACACAGCATTAGTAACCCTGACAACACCACCAACACAGCATTAGTAATCCTGACAACAGCATCAACACAGCATTATTAATCCTGACAACAGCACCAACACAGCATTAACAATCCTGACAACAGCACCAACACAACATTAGTAATCCTGACAACAGCACCAACACAGCATTAGTAATCCTGACAACAGCACCAACACAGCATTAGTAACCCTGACAACAGCACCAACACAGCATTAGCAATCCTGAAATCCTGACAACAACACCAACACATCATTAATTAACCTGACAACAACAGCAACAAAAAGGCAAAATTGATGAGCCTGACAACAGTAGCAACACAGCGATGATGACCCGGACAATCAGCTAAAGGGACTGCCGTAATGAATTTAACAGCAAAAATATCAAAGTATTAATGACCCAGAAAACAACAAAAAATGTAATCAAAGGAAAGCTGGTACCCCGTTCTCATAGAAAAAGCCAACAGGTATTAATTGGCGGCGTCTGTTTGGCTGACTCACACAACAGGGAATCAGGTGGGATTTATACACAAACATAGGGTAAATTTTAGCCTATCTAGGAACCCTGATTTTGACTTTCATTTATGACGATCTTGATATTATGGACCATTATTAAAGTAGAACTGTATTTTTCACAACTAGTAACATTTCTTTTTTTTGTGTGTGTCTGAAAAGAATGAGATTAAAAATTAGCTTAATTGTTTACCTTTTCTCTCAACCTTAGTGAGAGAGACATGAAAAAATTAGTCCAAGATATATGTTATAATGTTAGTATTTTATATTGAACACTATATAAGCTTCATACATAAACGCATACAGTATATCCACTACGATATATTATGTAGAATAAAAATCCGAAAAAAATATGAAGATTAATTAATAACAGCGAGTATGATTGACAGGGTCGCTGATCCAGGTTCTGGGAGACCGCCCTCGCTCAACCAAGAGTCGCCTCGGCCAGTTCAAAAGTGAGAAGGATGCAGTGCGTCAGTGTTTCCTTTTTAGGTAAGTCATACAGAACTCAACCTTCATTCTCCCGACACAGGTTCTCATTCTCTTAAGTGTACCGTAGATGATGTGCGAGGATTTCACGACCTATTTATTCCCAAGATATCTTAATCATTTAAACGTACCTATTAATCAGTGTTAGTTTTAAGTTAAAGTATATCATTAACATAAATTGGAACAGACGCCAGGATTCGAAATAGCGGGAAACCAATAGTAAGACCACTCAACCAAATCCCATCACCTTTTTTTTCCAGGTGCAGCTTTTTCTTCCCCACGCCCTCAAAATTAATAAATTATCTATGTGCATATGCTTACCTTTATATATCCCCAGGCACTTGTCCCGTGTACGCACATTTTTGTTTCTGTAAGTATACGACTAATTAACTGTTGACCTTGGCGTACGCAGAGACCCTCTTGCACCACACACCGCAGAGGACAGTAATTAGTGTAGAATTCAAGTCATTCATTCCTTAGTAGTTGTAACCAATGAATGTTTTTACAATAACAATAATAAATGGATTCAAAAGATTGTTTTAGGTTTATCTGTAAGTTATAGTAGTGTAACCTGATCCCCCTGGTCATCGTGTTCTCTATTCAATTACTGTATCTCGAGTCGCCACAGCAGTTTAACACTATATTCACTCATAATACAGTAATAATGAGAAGCTTAGCGAATTATACAAAACAATGGGAGCTTTTATTTACTGGTCGATTGGTCTTTGTCATTACCGGGTAACTATTGTTAATAAGTGAACATATTTTTTGATAATGGAGCATCATCATGTTTCTCCTCCAGTCAACAGTATAAACTATTAGTCACCATCAGTACTTTATCAATAGGTAGCACAAAGCGCTGCGTCATTGGATATCTAACCGTAGAATAAACTTGGAAGTAATGTTAGTCTGTGTATCAAAACATGCATTACAGTACTAGCCTTCACCAACAGATATCACATGTCATCAGTGGTACATTAGTCTATCAACATTAAGTATAGTAGATACCACTATTTTTTTCCTATACCACAAAAAGTAAAATATTTGATTTTCTCAATAATTACCCTTTTCGATACAATTCCCAGCGAGATCATTAATATTTTACATGTATCTGGTACTGTACCCCTCAAACATATAACTATCCCTGGTCACATGGTTTACTCATTGTAAGTCATCTCAATACAGTATTCCGATTAGGTACGCCATATATTTTCTCTTCAAGTCAAATGTACATTAAACCCCACTTAGCGCCTTAGCTTTTCCAGCCCACTAGTATTATTTTATTACGAAAAAAATTCTACCAAAAATAAATTGACCTATTAACCTTCCTCAGTGCTCACATTAGTTCCATCAGTATCCCTCCGTTATAGTTCCTTGGTTACGGTTCATCACCCTTCTTCATCACCCTTCTTTAGCAACCACCTTATCGTTGCGACGAGGACCTCTGGCGGGAAACTGCACCTGGTGGCGGGGGTGGGAAAGGTGCCTCTAAACAACGCCACGCTCATCGAAGACCCAAATGAACAAGGCAATCAAGACGAAGACGTGGGTAAATATCACACACACACACACACACACACACACACTGAAAGAATCTACATTAAAACAGCAAAATAAAAGTTAAAACAACTTAAGGGTCAGTGGAAATACATATGTGACAATAATAAGCAACATATCGTCGGTAAACAAGACGCAACACCATTAAACAAAAGAGTAATGATTCCCTCCACAATGGCAGAGTCGGTGTGTTCGTTTTCGTCACAGAGCAGCGGAGTGAGTGACAGTTCAGCAGCAACCAGTAGTGGATCAGGACCCGGCAAGAACTTCAACGTGGAACAAGCAAACCTAGATTTCAAGATCGTTGTGGAGCAGAAGAGTGGCTTGCCTATAACACTTCATCTCGTGGCGCCCACTATGCAGGAGAAACAAGCCTGGATTAGCGACATTAGTCAAGTATAGTCATCATATTCAAGTATTATAGATCATGTCATTTTTTATAGGCCTATTTAATATTTTATGATGTTTGTGTTTTTGTGATTATACACTGAAGCTTAAATAGATAAATACAATAATAGGATTTGGAATGTATGCATGTGTGTTCAAATACCTCCCCTTTCTCTCTCCAGTGTTTGGACAACGTACACTTCAACAATTTATTCCGCTCCTCCATCTCCGACACTTCATCAATAACGATGCCACACTTCATCAAAAATGACCCCAAGCTATTCCGGGATGACATCGATATTCGCTTCTCACGCACACTCAACTCTTGTAAGGTAAACACTAGTCACCAAGGTAGATCGGTGGTCCGTACAAGATGACCTACTAATCATGTTCAGTACAGTTAGAGCAAGTGATCGTTTTCAAGGCAGTAAGACCAACACACTTTCTTCTGAAAGATGAGTACAGCACATGTGATTATTCTCCTGGAGGACGAAGACATATTAATGATTCCCGAAAGATGAAACCAGATCACCATTTTCAGGAACTCGGAGATATGTCAACTAATGGAAGGTAAGGATGATGGACATGTAAGTACAAAATTAAATCTGGTTCCCAATTGCTATAAGGTAAGAACAGGAGTAAGAACTCTTGGTTATTTGTATGTGTTTATATAGGACACTGAACTTACTAGCATAATAAGTAATGATTTGTGTGAGTGCGCTGCATTATGTGAGAGCGAACGGATGGAAACACAGAATAATAAAGAGAAAAAGCAGTACAGTATAGAATAACTATTAGTATGAGAAAACGTATATTATTTGTAACTAAACCAACATGTACAATTTCATCGCCAGGTGCCCCACATTCGGTACGCCACACCGGATAGGCTGCTGGAGAGATTGACCGATCTTCGTTTTCTGTCCATTGACTTCCTCAACACTTTCCTCTTGACCTACCGTGTCTTCACCGACGGTATCTCTATTCTTGAAGCCCTTAAGAAGGTCTACTACAACCCAGACGTCCACGACCAGATGGCCGACTCTCGCGATTCTTCTGTTGAGAGGTCAGTCACAAGACGGGGATCACCTGAAGATTAGCCTCCAGCTAATTTCATATTAATATTAACCATCTTAACATTAATCTCATCTAACCTAATCTAACCCCTCATGTAGCGTTAGGGTGTTTAATGGTAAGTTCAAATAAGCTGGGGTACTACTCTTCAGTTGGTCTCACACGAGCAATATGAAATCATAAAGATTAGATAGATATTTGACAGAGGAGTACATTTGAAGTTTCCGTGTTTGCAAAATTATATCACTGAGGCGGCTTTAATGTGATATATTTCTCCCAACAGATCTCCAGAGTATATAGCGTCCCCACCCCCAGACCTCGACAGTGACCGCAACTCTCCAAGGCGTGTTTCAACCTTCAGTGCTTTCTCCGGTAATAATGATTTACTTTTCCTCTTTGTTTCAACTACCAGAGTTATTTTAGCATCATGCTAATTTCAGCAAGACAATCCTTAAATCTTCACAATACTCGGTCTTATACATTAATAGTAATCAAACGTCTTATAGTTTTACCTGATACCACGTCAGTTGTTTTAACATAAAACTCGCAGAGGGGCCAGCCAAGCGTCGTCACATCTACATACCGATGAGTCCATTTTCCAGGGACTAAAGATACCTGAAACAGGATGATTTTAACTGATGGAGGTTATAATACATAGACGAACACTGAGGCAGGAGCTCCCTCTTTAAGTCGTCGATTGAAGCGTGTTGCTGGCACCAATGAGTGTAGCTCGTCACAATATTAACTGAAGTATCTGTATAATACGGAAAGCGATGAGTTATCCCTACGAAAGTTACATCATTCATCTTTTTTTTTAATAAGGGTTAAAGACTACTTATTTAGCTATTGTACAGTGCGTCTGATAGGTAATTCAAATAGCTTTCTTAAATTCGCTGATCATAATACGTATATAAACATAATTATTAAAGTATGAATTAAAATATATGGTTAAGATACATATAATTTATAATATGTTAATAAATCCGTTATGTGTCAGGGTTTGAGGTGGAGGCGCCTCGCGAACGCTGCTGGACGTTTGATGCGCAGGTGGCAAAAGCGTCCGGCAATCAACACTGGCGGTGGTCATACAGGAGATGTAAGCTACCTTCCTTGTATCATCATTTCTTTCCTTTTATATTTATCAATTTACTTCCATGTCAAATTTCCGTCCACAACTTGTGTTCGCCGTCCTGTCGTGTTCTCTGATTAATGTTTGTCCTATTTCAGCTTTACCTAAACCAAAATGCTTTTCTTTTCCTATTTCGACGTATCCTCAACAGAATGATAGATATAATGAAAAAAAAAAACATAAGAAAATGTTCCTGATGCACACCAGCTGAAAATATTCCCAGAGGTAATTTTTTTATTGTTAAAGAATATTGTATTTTCCATGTCGATGTAACACAAGGTAAACGCAGACGACGGATAGAGTAAGCTAATAATACACAATAGGCCTTCTACCCTGCACAGTTGAGGAGGAACAGAGGGAGCAAGAGGAGCGTCGTATCAGAGAGGAGGCGGCAGTGAACGAAGCTACCTTCCACACCAACAGTCTCCCCGCCAGTGCACCAAACTCACCGTTCAGCCCCAAGAAGGTACACAATACAGTCTCACTTTCGCTGAACTTGTATCAACTTTCACACTCTTAAGGGAAATTTGTTTTAATAAACCCTTCTTACAACTCGTCTTTAAAGATAGGCTTTTACTTCATATGTTATTAGGTTAAGTTAGGTTAGGTTTGCAAACTCTTACATTACGCCAGCTTTTGTTTGCATGAATTTTCATAAAAAAAAAAAAAAAAAATATATATATATATATATATATATATATATATATATATATATATATATATATATATATATATATATATATATATATATATATATATATATATATATATATATATATATATATATATATATATATATATATATATATTGTTGGTTGCAAATGCGCTCAAAACCTTAATTCCTGACACAAATACATTAAAACAACATGGACGCCTCAATAAATCAACATAGGCCCCCCCCACACTCACACACACACAGCGGATAGCGCATTTGCAAACTGTCTCAGGCATAGGCATGTCAGATGGTTATGGGATTTGCTGGAACTTGAAGCAGTGGCGTGAGAGTCATCTTACAAAATTCATTATATACAATTTATTATACTGAACTGTATAGATATTTTGTCGTAGTTTCATTAATTATATTTATTCAAGAAAGTGTATAATTGGAATCTATTAATATACTATTTCAACACTTTCTTGTAACGCGAACGACAACTGCAACATTTCAGGTGAGTTTTGGTGTGTTGCAATCAGAATTAATTTGATTTCTTTAGTTTTCCATCATAGAGTATTATAAGGCAGAGATAACATTCACCATGACTGCCCTACAGGTGACCATCAGAACAGACGATGACCACAAGTTCCTCACCATCCCAAAAGGTCGCCGTAATCTGGTTGGGTCTACATCATCAGCTGAGACCCTCATCGGGGAAGGTAAACATCAAGTCCCAAGTGTCATCATTGTCTGTGTTTCAGCTTTCTGCTATAACTCTGGATTATGGTTTGGTAGTTACCGAAATTTGAACGAAAAAATAAACCGAATGACAGCTACCACTCAAGAACTAATGATATTCTAAAACATTAAGTTCATGGTGTGTGTGTGTGTGTGTGTGTGTGTGTGTGTGTGTGTGTGTGTGTGTGTGTGTGTGTGTGTGTGTGTGTGTGTGTAGAAAAGGTGCCCTAAACATAGCCTGCCTAAAAAAACAACCTGACTGGGCAACCGCACCCAGTAAGCTCATCCTTATGCGGTCGAAAACACAGTCATAATCACAGATCAAAACAAAAGCAAACTATACAACCTCTTATGGTCACTGCATGGAATGTCAGGAACCTTCTGGATACTGGCACAAATAAGCATACTGAAAGAAGAACCGCCCTTGTGGCAAAAGAGCTGGCAAGGTATAACATCGACATAGCAGCCATTAGTGAGTCCCGGCTCCCAGACGAGGGTCGACACACAGAACCGGGATCTGGCTACACCTTCTTCTGGAAGGGTAAGCCTGCTGCGGAGAGAAACCACATTTATGGAGTTGTCTTTGCCATCCGCCAATGCATCCCACATGGGCTAACTGAAATGCCTGTAAGAATCAACGAGCGCCTCATGACTCTCCGAGTCCCACTGAATCAATCACGTCTTGCCTTCTTCATCAGTGCATATGCTCAACCACTGGATGCAGAGGATGACATCAAGGAGGCCTTTTATGCCGACCTTGACAGAGAAGATAAGGTTGTGTTCCTAGGTGACTTCAATGCCAGAGTTGGCAGAGATGCTGACATTTGGCAGGGAATCATAGGGAGAAATGGACTAGGCAAGTGTAATCCCAACGGCCTTATCCTCCTCAGCAAGTGTGCTGCACACAGCCTCACTATCACCAATACCTTGTTTAGGGAGGCCAACAAGTTGAAGAGTTCGTGGCAACACCCACGATTCAAACACTGGCGTCTTATTGACTACATCATTGTCAGAGAAAGAGATCGCCTAGATGTCCTCATCACCCGAGCCATGCCTGGCTCAGATCACTGCGACACTGATCATCAGCTCGTCAGAGCTAAGCTCTCACTTCACGTCGCCCCAAAACAACGAAGGCAACAAGCCTCCAGAAGAGGTTTTAACAGTATACCTCTGGAGGATCCAGCAGTAGCACATACTTTCAGAGAGCAGCTCGCACATGGGCTGATAAACAACCAGAAAACAAACAACCCACATCCCAGAGCTGAATGGGATATTTTCGACACTGTCATGACAAAAACCTGCAGAGAGGCCCTCCACCAGATCAAAAGAATACACCAGGACTAGTTTGATGAAAATGTTCCGGAAATCAATGTACTCGTCGATGATAAACGTGCTGCTTTAACTGACTGACAGAACAACCCTCAGTCTCGAACCAAAGCTGATACCTTCTGCAAGAAGAAAGCATCAGCCCAGTGCGAACTTCGCAATCTAAAGAACGACTGCTTTAAAAAATAAAACACGTGAAATGCAAAAACTTGCAAATTAAAACAAGATGCGCAAATTTTTCAATTCCACTGAAACATTTTATGGGCCAATCACACATGGTGCAGCCCCCCTCCGCTGGGCCGATGGTAATCCCTAATTAAAGACGAAGAAGGCATCCTTCAGTGCTGGAAAGAGCATTGCCATTCGCTGCTCAACCAAAACACCGATGTGGATGTCCTGACTACCCAGCAGGTCCCTCAGCATCCAGAGCTGACCCACCTCAACTATCCTCCATCCCTTGATGAGGCAGCTTCTATTACTGAACTTCTATATGCAGACTACCTCACCTTTGTCTCTCACACTGAAAGCAACCTACAGGGGATTTTGAACACTTACACAGATGCGTATGCACTCTTCGGCCTTAAGGTGAATGTACGTAAGACTCAGATTCTCTTTCGGCCTGCCCCTGGTTCAGTCACACCTCCACCATCCATCCAGCTTAACGGTACTACCCTCTCTAATGTTACCCACTTTCAGTATCTCGGCTCTCATCTGTCCACCACCGCGGACATCGATGAATAGATTCAACATCGGATCAGATGTCCATCTCAAGCCTTTGGCATACCCCGTACCCGTGTCTTCAGTATAAGGGAGCTGAAATTATCTACAAAGTTACACGTATATCGAGCAGTGGTCCTCCCCACCCTGCTAATTGGCTGCGAGACATTGGTCACATACAGGAGGCACCTCTAGGTAGTAGTAGGCAGCTACCAAACAGGGAGGCGCTACCGCCTGGGAAGATATTGGAAGCGTAGTGTATTGCCTAATGGTAGACCCTGCTGCCATATGGCATCACGAAAATTGTGACCAAGTCCCAGGTTGCTGATCTGACTTTCTGCCTCATTTACACACAATTGCAGGGTCTCAATTATTTCTCTTACTATTGACAACACAACATACATATATTGTTTCTCACTTTTGATCTTTTTTTTTTCATTTTTGTATTTATAGGTCTTTATTATTATTATTATTATTATTATTAGTATTATTATTATTATTATTATTATTATTATTATTATTATTATTATTATTATTATTATTATTATTATTACAGTTATTACTATTATTATTATTATCATTAATATTTTTGTTGTCTGGTATTATAAGTTTTATTTACTATGAATTATTATTATTATTATTATTATTATTATTATTATTATTATTATTATTATTATTATTATTATTATTATTATTAATATTATTATTATTATTATTATTATTATTATTATTATTATTATTATTATTATTAAATTCCCCCCCCTCCCCCAGGCCCCGATGTGGGTCAGTGAGCTGTGCCCTGGTGGGCTAATTCCCGTAAAAAAAAATAATAAATAAAAAAACAACAAAAACAAGGTACTTGAAACTTTCACCAACATAGTCTACGTTCCCTCCTCCGAGTTTGCTGGGAAAACAAGAAAACAAATGCCAATATTCTCACTGACACCAGCTGTAGGAGCATCGAGGCTACCATTTATCCACGAACAACTACGCTGGACTGGCCATGTTACTCATATGGACGACAGTAGACTGTCAAAGCAGCCACTTAACAGTCACCTAACGAATAGTAAACCTAACGCTGGCGGGCAACTGAAAAGGTATAAGGATAGTCTTAAGACAAACCTGAAAAAATGCGAAATAGACTCCCTCACTTGGGAGACGATTACTCCACACCGTAACGCTTGGAGGAGCACCACACAAGAAGGTGTCAATACTTTCGAGTTAGCCCGATAGCATACCGAGACAGACAAGCGCCAACGCCGGAAAGACGCTGATGTCGCCCCTCCCGCACTAGGTGTAGCCCTCCACACGAGCAACATCAATTCAATTTCAATTTCAATTGTTTATTCCTTGATAGAGGAAGCGGGATCCTAGTGCTGTCACTAGGTACCCCTGTACAATAACACCAGAAGCATCTGGCAAGTGTGACAAGTATATACAGTATAAATATTATAAAGGGGCTTACTAAAGCCTAAGGAAGAAAGGATATTCCTTTAACACATAATCAATGTTATTTACATAGTATCTGGTCAGTATGGGGAGGATCATCGTGTCTCCGTCAGGGGGTCGTGGAGTAGTGGTCCAGCAGGCGTCACGGAAGCGTTGTGTGTGGGGACATCTTAGGAGGTAGTGGATAAGGGTGCGGCTGTCGGGTCTTCTGCATAATGCACAAGAGCGTTGCTCAGGGGATGCGGGGATACCAATCTCCCAAGCAAAGTCATACCCAATGATGATACGGGCAGCAATCACGTCCCCTTTCCGCGACCCTTTCCCGTAGACGTACGAGAGGTCAGGAAGTTTACGGAGGACATCGTACCAGGTGGGCGGGGAGTCCAGGGGGATGGCTGCTTCCCGAGCTTCTCTCTGTTTGCGGCGAATTTGGGTCCTAAGCTGTAAAAGTGTTCGAGGAACAACGTAGTCAGGTGTGGCCTTGTTGCAGCCAGTCTTGGCAAGGCCATCTGCTGACTCATTCCCCAAGTTACCGACATGACTGGGTATCCATAGGAATGTCACATGACGGCCTGCATCCTGAAGTGTGGATGTTAACCCTCCGAGCAACATCTGTGGACTACCCTGCCGGTCCCGTATCAGCCTCTCAAGTCACCTCAGAGCTCACTACAGCGAAGTAGTAGTAGTAATAGTACTGTGTGTAGTTTATTTTGCCACTCGTCATACAAAACGCTTATTATCTTAACTTTTCAGGGGCTAACATTGACAAGTAGATAGATAGATACGCATTTATTCGGTAAAATCATCACTCAAGTTCACACTGATTCAGCGAGTGTATTAACAAAAACCATTTTTTTTCCAGACTTAAGTATGAGCCAACCAGACAGTCCAACAGATGTCTCCACCTCAACCTTAGTGGGAGGTGGCGGGATGCTGGGCTTCTCAGAATGGCGGTTACCGTTTGAGGCGGAACGTCATAGCCGCAGTCGTCGTCCATCCCGCATCCTGGACGCTGTCACCTCCCCGCCTCGCCCATGTTCAGTGCCGCGACGTTCTCTTCCACGCAGAATGTCGTCACTAGAGGAGCGCCCTCAGGTCAGTACTAGTCTCCTTTCTCATATCGTATATACAGTACAGTACACAGACTTCAAAATTACCTGAAGGTTAGACACCCAGCTTATTTTACTTAAAAAGTCACCATCCTAAGTCCTAACGCTAACTTAACCTAATTTAACATAACCAAACCTACCCTAACCTAACCTAATTTAACGTAACCAAACCTACCTTAACCTAATCCAACCCCCAGGTAGCACTAAAGTGGTTAATTTTCAGGTGAAATAATCTGAGGTGTCTAAGCTTCAGGTGATCCATATTGATATCATTGATCGTGTGTATTATAATCAGCATCACTAAATGAGAAAGATCAACTATATTTTACCTAACAACAGTCTAAGCTTACCACTTTAGCTTACGACTGACTCTTCAATCAGACGTACTTTACAACACATAATTATTCATATATTTAACAGTCTGCTTCACATTCGTCTTAATAACGTAGTAGTATAGCAGTAAAAGTGTCGTGAAGGGCTGGAGCAGACCCTCCTCACCAGTGATTCGTCCATTCCATTTAAAATTTAAATCTTAATGCATGAAGCAAGTATGGTATTCAGTGTCCGGAGTAATTGATATATTGAGCTCACAAGGCTGACCAGAATTTGTTATAATAGCTTGTGGCATTTTTTGTATTTAAAGAGAATATTAGAATATTAAAATTAAATAATATTAAAAAAAGTGCTTCGCTATGTGATGATTATAGAATATCTCCTTTCACAGCACGGCGTCACTTAACTGTTACGAACGCCACATGTCTCATCTCCTAAATGATAATTAATTGTAACTCATTTTACAGGGATGGAGTAAGTTCGAGGCAGCTACTTCGGGTTCAGAGGCTGAGGACGAGCAAGACATCTTGGGTACGGGAGTAAGGCCCCGCTCTACTAACAGATCTCACAGCGCTGCCACCACTTCTGGGTTCCTCTTGGTGGGCCATCGTACCAAGGGTGGCAAAAGACCCAGCTGTGAGAGTGACGCGGCCCTCACTGCTCTGGGTCTAGGGGGTCTGGCTTCTCCCCGCTCTAGCGTCCATACCGCTACCCCGAGGTCATCCTTCCAGGTACAACCTTTTCACCCTCAAATATCATGATTTCTTTCGCAAATTATAAACTGCATGATTGGGTACTTTAGTCCTCTACAGTAACTTATTATCTGAGAAACATTCTGTCTACATTATGATATTGTCACTGGGTAAAATTTTTCAGTTAACAAATTAAAGAATGAATGAATGCAGAACTTTTCAGATACTCATTGACTAAAATTAAGTAGGAAGTTAACCGTAAGTTCTACTCGTGAACCATTTTGTTTGTTTAGACATTTAATATCTGTAAAGAAAGTCCTTCAATTGTGCTCATATCAGTGTACAGACACATCTCTGTATTGACGTTATACATTTGACCTTTGACGAAAAATATATAATAAGGATCATCATTACAGTATAGCACATTGATGTGCACACTCCATTGCAGGTACCAGACTCCCCCTCACACTCAGTGCCGCGGGTTGGTGTGGTTATCACCTCCTCCAGACAGTCTCAGCGCAGGTGAGTAGCTCCGCACTAGTTCCTTCCCACACTTCATTCCCATCCTCAACGTGAAGTAGTGCTTTAGTAGTGACCTTTGAAGTTATAGGTTGAAGATCTCATTCTCTCTCGTCTCATCCTACTTTATCTTACTTCAATCTGAGGCAATTATTCTTCTACTGACAGGAGCAGTAGTGCATCTGCAGCAGCTGCCTTTGCTGTGGCCACGGCAGGCTCGAGCAACCCCAGGGATATCCCTAAGACGCCTCCCCTGGGCCGCTTCTCCGTGGGTGGGGAGGGGCGCCGCTCCTCTTTCAGGGAACGACCTCGTCAGGAGTCCATCATATGCACCGCCGCCACCATGCGAGTCCTCAATGTGTTGCGCCACTGGGTATCTAAACATTCTCAGGTGAGGTGTTTATATGCGCACTTTTCCCTCCGTGTGCTCGTTCCCTTCTGTACATTTTAGCTCATTAACCCTCCTGCTCCCCAGTTGAACAATAGTAAAAAATGCTGTCAGGGAGTATCAAGCTTAGGACCTTTCCATCCAAGTGTTCGTAAATCGGACTAGAAATATACTTTGTTGCTTGAAAAACAATGACAAAAATAGAAATTGTTCATGAATTAATTTCAGATAATGTAAACTATATAAAAATAAAATAGCTTGTGTGCATGTCAGTCAGTCAGTCAGTTAGCCAGCTAGTACCGTACCCCCAAGACCACGGAATCTAGAGTCCTGAAACTTGAAATATACACTGAGAGGACCCTATGAGTGTACAGCTGGGTATTACATTTTAGACTTGCCTAACTCACCCCCAGCCCCTCCTCGTGCATATATAACAAAGCATTTCCCTCACTGTCGTTGATGTTGTTATACTAATGTTATTACTGCGCTTCAAAAACAAAGGTCTTTAAGTGCGTAACAAGGTTAGTATTTACAATATTCTAAAAAAAAAATATATGAGATAAAACTCTCTGTTGGGTTTCAAAACAACCTCACTGTCATCACCATCTACCGATCCGCAGCAGTGCCAACTTACATAATGCAATAAAAAAAACACGCCATACCTAATCCAATTGTACACAAACCACACTATGTATTTATAAAATCATAATATGACCCAAACATCATTAAAAAACAAGATAAATAACTCTAATATCGATGGAAAACGAAATAAATTTGATATGTTTATGTTAACTTTACATCGTCGAAAACAAACCCGGGAAACGCCGGGTACCCCAGGTAGTACTTAAGTATAATGACTTACTTTTATCTTATACTATTTCGTAATAACTAATTATTTGGCGTGCTAAAGGTACGACTAAAATTTTTAAAATATAGTTCAAATTATTGTTTGTTTAGTGAAATTTACTATTTAGTATGAAGGATAATATGTAAGTTTGATACAGCACTATATATTAAAGTGAATAATTCACCAACCAGGACTTCGACTGTGACCCGCGGTTAAGGAACATGACAATAGAGTTCCTGGAGGACATGGTATGCTGTGCCACGCTACTGCCAGCCGAGCACAAGGCGGCGTCACAGCTGCTGCGGCTCCTCACCAAGGAAGAACCTCCCAACCCACAGGTGGAGCTGGCTACCCTCCTCGCTCCCTCCTCTGTTAGTACTCTCAATACACACTTATATAAATAGATAGATAGGTAGATATTTACAAGCGACCATCTTTTTTTCAATAACTACACAAAATCATTGCCCAGATTTTTAATGGTTATATAATAAAAATATGTACTTTATTTTTCAATGGCTGTTTACAAAATCCTTTCCCTCGTAGACCCCAAGTAAGGAGAGCATCGAGACACTATCGGCTCTTGAAGTTGCAGAACAAATGACATACGTTGACCATCAGATTTTTGTGGCTATTAGAAGCGAGTAAGTATTCCCTCTCTTAATAATATGTCTTTGCTTTAGGAGATGACAGCAATGTAATTAAGATGGTGATGATAATAATTATTAATAATTATAATTCATGGTACACAAGATAGTTTGTTTATTGGTGAGAATTGCTGTATGGATAGTGTTAAAAAGTCATTGTGTGTGTAATAATAATAATAATAATAATAATAATAATAATAATAATAATAATAAACGGTTTATTAATAGAGTTGCAGCCGGTGGCTGAAAATATACAGACTTGCATTTGATTTAGACATAATGATATAATATGTGTGTGTGTGTGTGTGTGTGTGTTGTGGATAGTCTTAGGAGTCATTAACGCGTGTGCGTTCTCTCCTCTACCCCGTGCTTCACCGCCACCACGTGCTTCACTACCATCCCGTGCTTTACCACCACCCCGTATTTTACTACCACCCTGTGAATCTCTACCACCCCGTGCTTCACAACCACCCTGTGAATCTCTACCACCCTATGCTTCACTATCATCCTGTGAATCACTACCGCCCCGTGCTTCACTACCACCCCGTGCTTCACTACCACCCTGCGCTTCACTATCACTCTGTGCTTCACCCTGTGAATCACTACTGCCCCATGCATCACCACCACCTCATGAATCATCACCACCACCCCATTCATCACCATCAACCCATGCTTCACCACCACCCCATGCTTCACCACCACCCCATGCTTCACCACCACCCCATGCTTCACCACCACCCCATGCTTCAGGGAGTTCCTCAAGACCGCCTGGATGAAACCTGACAAGCAAATTAAAGCCCCCAATATTCTCCTCATCACCCGTCGCTTTAACGAGGTTAGTCTCCAATGTTCATTCCTCACTATGTATTTATTTAATTGCTGTTACTCATCATTAAGCAGTTATTTTGCTGGGATGGGGCTGGGAGGTGCTAGGAATATGCTCAACACACCTCCAAGCGAGTTAACTACCTGAGTTGTCGTTTATTTGTATACAGTATTTCTGGCTTTAAACGTTAATATATTTCAATACACATAATAGGTCTTCTTCGACCGATAAAATGCAGTCACTTGAGGTTCTACGGGCAGCCTAGAGATGAGAAATAGATTGTTTTTTCTTTTAACCACTAATCACACTATGGTGAGGCAGGTGTCACGCTTGGTGGCCTCTGAAGTGATCCGCGGCGCTACTCTCGCTTCCCGCACCGCTGTCATCGAGAAGTGGGTCGCCGTCGCTGATATCTGTCGCTGCCTCCACAATTTCAATGGCGTACTCCAGGTGAGCATATTAACACTAAATGCCCTCATTCATATCTAACGTGTCTCTACAAACCTGCATAATAGTTCAGTTTAGTTGATGTGATATATACAACCCAAAAGTCGTGTTGTCTTTGCTATTTTCATGATCGTATGTCCATTATAAGCAATATCTGTAATCCAGGCTTTTGACGATTTTTTTTTTAGTTTGACAATACGAAACTGTTAGTTCAGTTCATCAGAGTGAAAGATTTACTAATATTCGCAAAATTGCAGAGAAATAATTGCCTGGCCTTTTGAAAACACGTCGGATTTTCATCATTGACTTGAACCCATGAAGTACATTTAACACATGAATTCATTCTAAAAAATAATGACTAGTACACGAGGCTTAATTCTGCAACCAAGTTCAGGGTATTGGCATTAATGATATAACTCTTGCTAAAGAGTGAGAGAAACTTCAAATAATGACGTACTCTAAACTTACTATCAACTACTTTACTGTATATTATTATATTAATGCATGTCACTGTTTACAAAATTTACCTCATAGAGATGTATCGCCTTTTCTTTATCATAAATAAACTTCCACTCACGATCAAGTCACTGCCTCAGCCAAGAGGTGCATGAACTAACACTGAATATCCCCCAGGTGTGCGCTGCCTTCCAGAATTCATCTGTATTTCGCTTGAAGAAAACATGGGAGAAAGTCTCAAAGACGGTGAGTGAAGAATGAGTGGTGATGTGTGAAGACAAGCCAGTACAGCGATCAGCACTGGTTGATAATGGTTATCCCTAAATCACAGACATTTAATATATTTTTTTGCTAAATACTTTGAGTCATAAATAGAGTGGTTCCTTACAGACACGTCAGACCCTGGAGAAGCTGCAAGCGCTGGTGTCATCGGATGGAAGGTTCCGTAGCCTGCGTGACGCCCTCCACCGCTGTGACCCGCCCTGCATCCCTTACCTGGGCATATACCTTACCGACCTTTCCTTCATCGAGGAAGGCACACCCAATTTTACAGATGAGGGCCTTCTTAACTTTTCTAAGATGAGGATGGTAAGTATCATTGTCATCGCTATAACTGACCTAAAGTTCTAGTAAGCACACACACACACACACACACACACACACACACACACACATATATATATATATATATATATATATATATATATATATATATATATATATATATATATATATATATATATATATATATATATATATCCGGTCCGAATCTATCTCACTTGACTTGGGGTTTTTATTATTAGTGGGTGGTAATGCAGTGGAAGCGCCCCTTGGAGAAAAACCCGAACCAGCACAAACACACTTAAATTAAAACAATTGATTCTCCGTGACCCGTGGAAAGATAGCACCTGTGATTGGGGTGAATGAGACGCACTGTAAAATTTGACACTTCTATTCCCTCCAACACTACAGCCACAAAACAATAATGGTACACCAACATATGCACACCTCTTAGCCTGGCTTAAAACACTACACTGGGGAACAAAAGTTATACATGATATCAAAATAGGTAGAAAATATAAAATGCCTTATGAACACTACTACTTACACCAGAATGAGGAGCTCATCTGAAAACAGTTCCTCATTATCTCACATCCCTTAGTGACACATAGTCATTAGAAAACATTACAGTCAAGCTATTAAGAAATGTTGCTTACACATAAGAACAGGCCTTAAGGGCATTCAACCAAATAATATCAATCACTGAGAAAATGGTATAAAAAATATTAAGAAATTATTAACCACACACATGGATCAATCATAGCCTGTCTGGGGTGACACACAACTACTACAATCCTAATTGCCCAATAACCCGAAAGGTGTAACTACTAACCTGCCAAGGAGGCCGGCATATACTGTACAGGAAACCCGAGAAAATCACTCATGACTCATCAGGCAGGCGGGGGCTCTGCTGTGTTTTATCAGTAATTCCTCTAGAACTCAGGAGTCATAAATGTTTTTCTCCATCAATACCTGTAAAACATGCTCCTTAGTCTCACACATGGGTCCCGAATGCACCCGTATTTTCTTAAGGCACTAACAAGCCCTTTACAACTTTTTATAGGAATTCTTACGTCTCACGTGTGAAAATCAACCATGAGGAGCGTTGTTCTCACACATGGACTTGGGAAATTTTAAACACCTTACCACCCTTTCCCTTAACATGCATCACACAAGCTCAGAACACACCCATACTGGGAAGAGGAAATGTCTCTACGTATCCACTAGACTCCTGGTCTCAGTGTGTGACCGTTCATTCACTCAGACTGCCTCAGTTTACACTCAGTACATCCATGAACAGGAAGAGAGTGACTGAAAGCCGATGAGCTCTGTCCAGCTGGGGGAAGGATTCAATTTTCCCGTTCTGTAACAAAATTTTCAGACTGACCGAAGACACATGGTGTTGTGAACCCAAGTGGGAAGAACTGATCAACCAATGCTGATGCTGGTCCCACATAGTTTAGTTGTCGGGGGCACTCGTTCACTCGAGAGGTCCCAGCTAAAACCTTGCTAACCGGTGACAAGCCTGCTCCGATCGTTCCAATCGCCAATCATCAATCGTCAAACGGCAGTCGTCAAACGGTAGTCATCAATCACAGTCAAGTGGGTTTTGCCAAAACCCTGCAATGACCTCTCTGTTAGCTATTGTTAACCTCTATCTCTGCCCCATCTAAACCCCGTCTGAGATCGAATAAACTTACTTGTAATACTGAAATGTCGTAACACAGAGACCAGACCACGTGACCGTTTCGTCCTGTCTGGATGCGCAGATCGTCCTGTCTGTTTGAACGCTCCTGTGCGACTGAGGATCGGCCAACCTCGTGTTTTCCCAAGGCGGTAGCCTTGTGTTGGTCACACAATATATATATATATATATATATATATATATATATATATATATATATATATATATATATATATATATATATATATATATTAGTTCTTGACTTGATAAGTGGCAGGCTGAAGTAAACACTTTGTTGGTTTTGTTTTATTGTACAAAACTATAGTTTCACAGGTACTGAGCTCAGTTGAGAGTATATTATACCTTCTCTGCTGAGGTAAATGTCTTAGTACACTTTTATAAGAGAGCACTTAAGTGAGATGTTCACTGGGTAACAGGTGATATGATAGTCTCTCTCTCACGCGCATCCTGTCAGGCGGGCCTTGCAGGATACGCGTCAGGTTGTTGTTGTTGAGAGGCGCTGACCCAGCTTGACCTCGCTCACCAATTCATGCATACACATCGGTGAATGACTTGGTGAATAAATGAGTAATATACATTTGGGTAAATATTTCTATAATACAAATTGTGCTGTTACACCGCTCGGTCACCTACAACCGATGTCCTCACGGATTAAAACCTAGGTGTACCTAACCTTGTTACAAAAAGGTGTGCTTAGCTAAACTTTTTCGTCGTTTATATGTTTTTGCAATTCCTTCCGGAAAGTTTTCTTAGAAACTATTGTGTACTTAGAAGAAATCTTCCTGTAACAAATTATCATAACAATCAAGGAACTGATAAATATGGTAGGTATAATAAAACCAGGTAGGATTATACCGGAAGATAAGTATAAAGGAAGAGAATCCTGTAAGTCAGGAAACTGTGCCTCATTAATATAAGATAGGAGGTTAAGCTTATCAGAAACAATGTGGAGATTACTGAAACTTATTGGGGCCTATTTAAGGGAATTGGTATGGGAATCAGCTCAGAAGTAATGTTTGTGACAAATGCAAGTTGATGACGAGTAGGCAAGGTTGTGATTGCATTACTGCTAATGTCACAATAGTCTGGTGCAATATGATAACCTTCTATCATTAAATGTTTACCTACATCCTGACATATAAGTATCACTCTGGTTTGATTCAGGAAAAAGAAATATTGCACATTATTGACATGTGCGTGAAACACTAACCTATGTGGTATTGGAGTGTATACACATTGTTGTAGAGCTGTAGAGGCATTAGTTTGTAACAGAGCTAATTCACATGAAGCCTCCGCGGCCCGAGTGAATGCGAAAGCACACGCCGGACAAACATGCAGATGCAAATATGTTTATTTACAATGATTTAGGACTTCATGCTTAGCCACAGCAACTAATGAAAAATCCTCTGATACTACTATTAGTTCAGTTTGTTTGTTCAGAATTAATATTCCCTCATTCGCTTTTAGTGGAAATGGTTCCAAATGCCACGCATTAATTTTTTATTTTATTTTATTTTAGTGGAATGTGTATTAGTATTTCCCTGTGTATTAATGTTGCTTCTAATAAGGGATAATAATATTCCACTTCATGCTCCTGAAAGATAGGAGTTAGATGATAATTAGTTTCAGATATATGCAACGCGGCAATTAGTTGATGGACTGTGCAATGGCCCTATTTTGTTTCCAAACCGCGTCTGAAACTGCACTCATTTTATTTCCTAGTTTGGCCACATCTTCGGCGGTTGCCGCACCAAACAAGGTATTACTTATTAAACCTACAAAATTAAACAGACCACGTTTTTGACGCCGCTGAGAATGTACATTTTTCCCGATGTCTTCAGGAGATACAGGGAGCTTTCCCTCGAAATGCCTTACTCGTTTGAGTAAACTGTTCATTCGGTCGTGTTGAAGGGAGATGGTCTGACGGATTGTTGTAGAGAATGTAGATTGTTGTCCGAGATCTTACAAGGTTTGCATAGCTGTTTCATGGAGCTTGTATTTGATAGTTACAAACGTCTTGTACTACTAATACTTTGCCTAGTTGGGCAACTAAGGCTCAGGGTTTGACGACGTCTGCTGGGGAGGTGGCTGTTGTCACCACACTCCAGACCAACAGAAGTAGTGATTAACGATTTGTGGTTGCTGATCGTAGTTTTTGATGATATGTATTGTCTATCGTTATATTTTGTTGAGCAACTGATGTAGTTGAAGTAGGATGTACTTGACTGACATTAGGAGTCCCTACTAAATCTCTGCTGTCTTTTTCATTCTATCTACATGTACTATATCTGTAACATTTGACGTTGGCTCAACAACTTGGAATTTGTTTCCATGTTCTTTCGCTCTAATCACGTATGGACCTGTAAATTTAAGCGAGAGCTTTGATATGCGTTCCGGCTTTTTTATCATTACTTTGTCTCCTATCTCTAATTTTAAAGGCTTAGCTTTTTTTATGTTGCTTGCAGATCATTTCAGCACGTGAGGCTGCTAAGTGTTTTCGTACTTTTCTATGGATGCTCGTGAAAACATTGATTTGTTTCTTGGCATAGTCATCCAGGTTGTACACAGGTTTTGGAATTCCTGTTAGCAAATCATATGGTAAGCATTTATCGGTACCGTAAATTATGTAGTATGGCGATTTGCCTGTAAAGCTATTTATAGGTCCATTGATGGATGCTGCAACCTGTGGAAGCCAGTCCTCCTACGAACTATGCATTGGATTCACCACATGTCGGAGAATCTCAAGAATTTTTTTATTCGCACGCTCGACCAACCCATTTGAAGATGGATGGTAGGCGGTTGTGGAGGTTTGTGCAATGTCATATTGTTGACATATAGCAGGTAAGAGTTGATTCTTAAATTCTGCCCCATTATCCGAGAGTATCACCCTAGGTGTAGAGAAAGGACAGATTAGATGAGTGACTAATGCATGAGCCACTGATTCGGCGGACTTGTTCAGCAATGATGCGAGTACCACAAATCTGTAAAAATGGTCAACGCAGACAAGTACGTAACTCGAGCCTTGATGGCTTTTTGGTAGTTGCAATGAATCGATCGCAACTGTATCCCATGGACGTTCTGGTGTCGGGTATTCTAAGATTAGAGCGGAATCCAATGTTGTTCCCTTGTGTTTTGCACAAGATAAACATTTAGCAATGTGATGCTCGATGTCGATCCTCTTGGATTTCCAATAATATTTTTGTCTTATTTTTGTTAGACATCTATCTCGCCCTGGATGCCCAGCTTGGGGTGCATCATGGAAGAGGGTGAGAATATTTTCCTTTAATGATGTAGGAATAACAATTTGAGAGATTGACTCTTG